CTGAGTTTTAATTTACAATTCTTTAGTTTACTTACCATAAACTATTACAAAAGATGACTACTGGACTTAGTCATTTTCAGCCATATAACAAAGCTGCAGACAGACAACACACAACACCACACGTCAACCTGTAATTGTGTATAAGCCTGGCAACAGAATAGCAAACGCTGGAAAGCTAAACCTTATCACAAACAAGTCTTACCACGGCTAAGTCCATCAGGGCCTCTGAGTATCCGGCACTCCTCTATCTGTCCATATGGCGAAAACATCAGTCGGATATCATTCTCGTTACACTTCTTGGAGATCATTCCAATAAACAGTTTTCTGTCCTCCACTGCTGTATTAAACATAAGACAACATTAAACTTCTGTGCATTATATCAAGAATTATGGTGCCCTGCAACATTCAACATGCATACAAGTATGTTTATTAGCAGGTACTTATGCTACAAAATCCTTACCATTGTTTTTCTCACTATCAGCGGGCTTCATTTGGATTGGATGGTGCATCTGAGCAAGACAGTAAATACATATATTATTTCATAAAATACACAACATGTAGAGATACAGAAACAAATATGTTGGTTTCACGTGCCAAGTTATGTAACTATTGTGTGCTTGTTAGAGATGTTTGGATCCCATTTGACTACAGATACCTGAAAAGCTGAAAAATGTTCTTTCACATAGATACATATACATACATAGATAATATCGACAAATGGTATATTTTCCTTTAAGACACATGAAACATCTTCAGCGCAGTTATTTACTAAGATATGACATGGCAACGTCCTATTGTAGTGTCCCAACAAGTCCTGAATTACATGTTTGCCTACAGATCAGCTCCTTTTGCATCAGCTGGTTGCTGCGAACACTGAAGTTGCAGAGTGCCATCTGGTAGGCAAACTATGCAACATCAACAACATGATTAGATTGTGTTTCTCGCACAGTCTCTTTCCTTTTAACTCTAATTTATCAGTCATTATAAATGCTGCCACCAAAATCGATATCAAAGAGAAAATATTATTGCTTAATTTATTTATTTATGTTTTCTTCCATATATTGTGAGTATTTGTTTCT